CTCATTTACATCTGTCATAGTCCAATCACAGTATCAGTTCAATACATAAAGACCATCATGTCCTATCAGTCTTGTCTTGTCCTATCCTGTATAACAGATGTGACATAAAATAATTCTTGATGAGACATAGTATCAGTCCAATGCATAAAGACCATCATGTTATGTCATGTCAGTCATGTCATATCCTGTATAACAAGAGATGTGACATAAAGGAATTCTTGATTGCTTTTTATGTAGATAATTTCAATTTTATTATTGTTATATCTTTTTTATGTAAAGTTGATATTTTCAAAATTTGTCAGGTTCGTGTTCAGGTGACAAAGGAATTTCTAGAGTGTGTACATAAAGGTGTTTTATTTCAACGCCCTTCTTGGAGAGTTGACAATGCTAGGGTTAATACCCTACATGATTCTGCACTTCTCATGTCTGATCATTCAATTTTTCCTCATGGTATAAATGATTTCTCCTAAATTCTCTAGTTTTGGAAATCGTGTCAATTGTATAAATTGGTAAAAGAATGAAATGTTTTCTCCTAAATCTTCATGTTTGATAAAAAGTGAATAAGTGTTGCATAGATTCGTAAAAATGTGAAGCATTGTTACATAAATGTGAAATGTTGTTTCATAAAAAACATTAAACCCTTTAATAAATGCACAAATTGGTTTTAAATCTCTAGATTTGGATTTAAGTGGTTATGTTGTCTTATATAGTTGTGCAAAAATAAATCTAAGATATGCATTTTTTGGAGAAAAAAAAAACTTGTGGTTTAGATGTTATATTCACTTTTTAGCCAATTAGTGCAGTAAAAACACAATTATATACTACACTTCCCGATTTACAGAAAAAAAAATGAAGAAATCAAAACATTCTCTTGAAGAATTTTAGAGAAAGAAAGAGTTATTTTGTAGTGTGTTTTTTAAGGGAGAAAGAAAGTCTAGTTTTATCTCAAAAACATAAAAGTAAAAGTGATTCAACAATGAGAGAATATCTTTTATGTCTTTTCCAAAATTGCCATTTGATCCTTCTTTTGACTTTGCTTTTTCAATCCTCAACAACTTTTCCTTAATTGCTTCTCAGTCCTCATCTTTTTACCTTCTTTTTGTCTTTATAAACTTTCCTACAAATAAAACATTTGATCTAATTATATTTATTTTTTATAACACTCATTTACTATTTATTCACCCTTAAGATTGATTAAATATAAATGTATCTATTTACTACATTGTTGCATATTTATAAAAAAAAAAAAGCTATTAATTTACAATTTTCTCTTCCCTTCCTCATCAAAGCTGTTCATGGAGAAGAATTCTGCATATCTGTTGAGATAAAGGTAAGCCTTCTTGCTTTGAATTTTTTTTTTTGCATATAATCTCTTTGGAGTTGATATATGATTTTTTTTTTGCTAATAAATAGTTTTTTATTTTCCTTTCTTTAAAATATGCAGCCAAAATGTGGATTTCTTCCAATTTCAAGATTTATTAGAGATGTAAACTTAGCTAAGAAAAGGATATCTCGCTTCAAGCTGCATCAGATCCTTAAATTCCATCAAGGAAAGGTTGTAACATTTTCCTCAATTTTTATTATCTTTTGGCTAAATACAAAAACTAGCAAAGTATTTATTTATTTTTTCACTATAGCATCATACTTTTGTTTCTTTATATTACATCATCATACTTCCATTTTTTTTCTTATAAATAAATTTTACTCGAAAAATCTACTCACTTATACTATCAATTTTTTTCTTAAGGGGACATTATACCTTGAAAAGTCCACCATTTATAGCATTGAAAATTGTTTTGTATATGTATGACATTGACTATTAATATTGATATGAATTCAATTATACATTACACGTTTTTATATTTTTTCTAACATTTGACTATTAATCAGATATCTCAAATAAGCGAATACGACCCTTTGGATTTATTCTCCGGATCAAAACCCCGAGTTCTAAAATCCATCAAAAACCTCTTCCTTACGCCTCAAAACAATTTCCGAGTATTCATAAATGGTTCCCTGATCTTCGGAAGCTCAGGTGGAGAAGCCGAAGATACAAATATTCAAATCGCTCAATCCTTCGAAGAAACCCTAAAACCCATCATTCAATCAGACGATGGCATGCGAACTTCAACCTTTTTGCAACTTGTTGGAGAAGCGGTTTTTAAATCGGGAATTATGAATCGACTTGTGGATGTTCAAAAACTCGATGCGTTTGATATTGAAGGTGCGATTCATGCTTATTATGATGTAATCGCTCAACCATGTGTGGTGTGTAGGGAATTGGGAGAAGGGAATGTTTTGAGTAATAAAAGTAAATATGATGCTTTGCATTCGATTTCGTTTGAGGAAAGTTTGAAGATTGTGAGAGATTTTCTTGTGGCGTCGACTGCTAAGGATTTGAGTTTGATGATTGGGTTTCGGGGAAGAGGAAAGGGAAAGGGAAATACGGTGTCTAATTATGATGTTGTTTGCATTGATTCGAGTAACCAAAGTTTTGACTACAAAGTAAATGACCATTTTACCCTTTTGAGGATTCTCTCCATAAACTTTGTTTTTATTAGGTGTTTTTAATTTAATTGACTGATTTTTTATTTTATCAGGCATCTTTTATTGATTTGGACATGAAGCCTCTTGAGAAAATGCCATACTACTATAAGTTGGATCAAGAGATAATAAGTTGTTATACGAGAATGATGGAGACAGTGAATCACCCTGAAAAGTCTTTGGTAGAAACTCCATATCAAGATCATCTATCGACTGCCATTGAAGACGCCTCATAAACTTGAGAGATCTCTAGTCATAATTAGTTAATTGTTCTTTGTTTCTGTAAAACCCACAAAGAGGCCGTTTTAATAAGAGAAACACAAGGCCTGAAACTGTAAGATTTAGGCATCAGAACACCGACAATAACTCTCAAAAGCTAAATAAATTGTAGTTTTTTATGTTGCAAATAACTATGTGCTCTGGTTTTGTTGAATCTAATCATGTTGCTAGTATACCTTGTTTCGTTTATGGGCTTTTTTTTAATGATATTACTCATCATGATGAGGTTTGCTAAAAATTGGAAATCATAATTTTGGATTTGCATATTCTTTATTTGGAAACAGTTCTCGCAAGATTTATTTGGAATGTATTGTTACCGGAGTACGGAGGAGGATGGTTCCTTTGAGATTAATAAAAAAATAGAGATAATGAGATTAAACCTCAGCCAATGGAACTTAACATCAATGATTCCATTGACATTAATAAAAAAATAGAGATGATGAGATTAAACCTCAGCGAATGTAACTTAATGTCAACTTCCGTCAACTATTAAACGATGCAGGGGTATAACAGTAAATTTCAACTTAATGTTTAGAAAGCGCACACCTTTCTTTCTTTGAAATATGATTACAAAACAAAAAATCATCTTATCGCTAAATCATCAATTTCTCAGTATCAATCACGTAATCATATCATTCAAGCTTCAAAATTCATTCAATATCATCTTAAAGTTTCTATTTTTATTGAATCTCTTATCAAAATAATCGAAAAAAACGATCGAAACAAAGCATCAGTTCATATTTTCATAAATACGAGACATAATCCTCAAATCGAAGAAACAAGCACATCGCATTCATCATCGCAATTCAAGAGAGCGAGAGAGCATTTGAAAATTGAATCAAAATCAATTTCATATATGATGTCGAATTCAAAAGAAATTGACGAGTCGATCACAGCTGATACTATCGTAGTTGAAATCAATTCATCTCAAAATGACGAACAAATCAATTCAAATTTCTTTAACTTCTGAAAATCAACACGAAGAACTTCAAAATACGATTGGTATTGAAGGTACAAATAATTCGTTTTAATATTACATATTACATTACAATTTAGAAAGTTGATTCTGATTTTTTTTATTTAATCATAAACAAAAAACATAACTGATCTTGTGTTAATAATATCTTACACTGCATAATCATAAACGATTATATGTTGTAATTTATGATTGATCATATATTTCAATGTACAAACACATATGATTTAATTATACGTGTTTCTTATATGACAAATCATATATTAAACTCTATAATCATATATGATTATGCGTTGTAATATATAAGAAATACCACTAATCATACATTATTATACAATATGAATTATGATTAATTATATATTAGGATGTATAATCATATACGATTATACATAATAATATTTGATTAATCGTATATAACAATTTAAAAAAAACATATGATTTATCATATGTGTTCATAGATCTAAATATATGATTATACAGTATAATATGTGATTAATCATATTTAACATTCTACAAACAAATATAATTTATCATATGTGTTTTCAAATTGAAATATATATTAATCATATATTAGGATGAATAATCATATATGATTATACATCATAAAATATGATTAATCATATATTACAAACTATAAATACATACGATTAATCATACATAATTAAACAATATGAAATATGATTACTTATAAATTAAAACGTATAATCATATATGATTATACAGTACAATATATGATTAATCATATAAGACATTGTACAAACAGATATGATTTATCATATGTGATTCTACATTGAAATATATAATTAATAATATATTAAGATCTATAATGATTATACATCCTAAAATATAATTAGTCATATTTTAAAAAGTATAAATGCATATGATTAATCATAAATGATTAAACAATATAACATATGATTACTTATATATTACAATGTATAATCATATGTATCATACGTGCATTGAAATATATAACTAATTATATATTAAACTCTATAATCATATACGATTATTCATCCTAAAATATGATTAATAATATATTACACTGTATAAATACATATCATTAATCATATATGATTATTACAACATAAAATTATATAATAACATATTTGTCATTACCTTTCTTTATCAGGTGAAACTTCCAATTCAACAAACGAATCATATTGCTATAACATAATTAAGAATTTGATTATAAACCAGACGCCCCTCCAGAATTTGTACCAGTTGTAAACATCGTTTTCTAATCACTAAATTTGACAGTAAAAATGTATACTGATTATGCAGAAATGGATGGTTTTCATACAAGTAGCCAATCAAAATACAAATAGCCAAATAATAAAAAAAACAAATATGTTATATGCAATATGGGTGGCAAGGATAAACCAAAACCTTGTGATACATTGGCTACAAGTTCTGTCAAGAGGAAACCAAATTCGAACAAGATAATTACTAGGTGTACAACAAAGATTATATTTGAAAATATTTATGGAACAACAAATTACAAAGTTAAGCAATTCTTTGAATTGCACAACCACCCACTGGAAAGTATTGAGGATAAAACTTATATGAAAAAAGCAAGAAAGATGTCATATTCTGAAAAAGAGTTTGTAGTATGCGCATCAAAAGCTAAAATTGGTCCAACGATAGCTCACAAATACGAGCAGTTTTGAAAGGAGGATATGAATATGTAGGGGCGAAGGTAACAGACTACAAAAACTTGAGGAGATGAGTAAATAGAATCTTATGTTACAAGGATGCTCAAATAATGATAAACAAAATGAAAGATCGTAGAGATCATTACCCAAATTATTCATTTGAGTTCCTACGTGATGGAGATTAGTTGGCTGCTATGTTTTGGGCAGATGAAAGAGAAAATGTTTTTTATGTAGAGTTTGGAGAAGTTATATCTTTTGATGCAACTTTTAGAAAAAAAACAAGTAAATTAATATATGTACTTTACATAATTTATATATTTATGATTAAAACTAGAAAGGTGTCCCCCGCGTTGCGGGGGTCGGAAGGTGTCGTCTTTTTGTGAAAGTATAGTACATTCGCCCATTTACAAATGCATAATTGTCAAATATGTTGTATGCTATAAAATAATGAACCATTTGTGTTGCAACGTAAACAGGAAGTGCAACAGAAACACCTGTTAAAAAAAGTCAAGTAAACAAAAAAAACTGTTTTTTAACACATGTTTCAGTAAAAAAATAAGAAAAGCTAAATATTGAGTTAAAGATTACCTCTCAAATATTGTGTAAATTCCAAATTTCCATACTATTTTATTTGAAATAAGTAGAAAATACCCTTATCGACTTACAGATCCGCCCCTGATCACTGAAAAAGTTCTCTCACATCACCTGCTTCTCCAAGGGTGCCAACTATGAAACAATAAGCTAACAGCCAATGTAAAACTCCAAAAAAAAACACACGAATGGAGAAAATATACAAATAAAAAAATGCCAGTGGGTTTGATAAAAAAATAACCTAATGATGTTGAGTCCTGGGGAAAGGGGAGAAGATTGCAGCTCCAATGATCACGAAGGGGTCGTTGGGAATAGACACAAATTTGTTGTTCGGATGCTTTTCTTTGTAGTGTATCTGGAAGGTAGAATTGAAGTGGTAAAATCAAGGGTTAAATGTAAGAAATAATGATGTAATTTCATTGATTTGTTTATCACAATATCCTACTTTTTATTTCTTTCTAATACAATTTACAACATTGAACTTTGAACATCTATCCAATAATAAGAATGTTATTCAAATAGAAAGCAATTTTTTACTGCTACTACTGGTAGATTTTTCAAAGTACATGTCCATATAAGACACAAATTGAAAGTACATCTCGGTACATTTTTTAAGTAGAATGCATTGATAAGAAATTTGCATATCAACATGTTTATGTTAAAGATGGAAGACAAACATGTCAAGAGATTTACCTTATAGAGAAGATTGCATGTACAACGTTGACCAGGTTACCCTTATATACAATGTGGAGGGTATTTACGTCTTTTCAACAAACAAAAAAATTGTCGTGTAACTAACTAACCTTCATCTGTAATGAAGTTTAATGGAGTGTCTCCATCAAAACCCTTTTTCTCAAACACAGTTCCATCTTATAGCTTAGCTGTATATCTAACTACAAAAAAGGAAGAAAATACAATGGCTAAAATAAATATAATATTATAAGCGTTTGATATAATAAACAAACAGTATAAAAAAAGCAATATATGCAAAATGATTATATACTTACTAAGAACAAAAACACCTTCATTTGGAGTGAGAGCACAATACAAAAACATTAAAAACACAAATATTATGAATATTTATGATTAATATAGACTACCATGTCAAATTGAGGATACGAATATTGTTGCATTTGGCTTTAGAGAAATGGCCTTCATCAGATATATTCTGTTTGTAAAAAAAAATGAAAAAAATAAATTATTTTTCCTTGGAGAATCATAGGTAAAAGGTAAAACAATCATATAATATACCTGAGCAACACAGAGATCTAAGAATCTAAGATTGCTGAAAAGTGAAAGTTTCTTATAAGCTTCATATGTAAAGCTAAAAAAAATAAATGAACTCTTCATAAATCATTAAATCAAGTAAGTGAAGTAACACAGTATGAAGTAATATATATAAGTAAATATGGGACATTAGACAACCTTTATATGGATATTTTCAATGATGAGTTCATAAAAGTTTAATATTTGCTTTGATAAAGTTGTTAAGATGATGAAGATTGAAACTTTTTATTTCAAGAATCAAGTAAAAGCCTTGACCAATACAACATACCTAGTGATATATAGCAAGTCCAGATGCTGATAATTGTCTCCAACCATTTGCAAACTTTTATCTGATATACCCTGTTATCCCACATCAATGCATTTCTATCAAAAATATATAAGATTAAAAAACTGGAATAAATCTATATCCCTTGTAACTGTAATATACCTTACAGCCACTTAAGTTCAACGTTCCTGCTCCTTGGGAGGTACCAAATAAATGAAAAGTCACCAATCTGTTTTACTGTTGAAAGTTTGTTGCTGTTTTGGAATAATTTCAATTGTTGGACTTTTATTTCAGGCTTGAGCTCCGATGTCCTTATTAGTAGTTGTATTGGGGTGCTGATTTTTTGAGCCTCCTTATTTGATTTCATAACATACCAGATTAATACTGACAAGGCACAACCCACTGGATAGCAAAGCAAGCATATAAGATCATATCTATGAAACTTGAAAAGCCACGATACTTACCTCCGTGAATTAAAGTTGGTAGAGTGGAACGACGTTCCAGAAGAGAAGACATCTCATTCCATAAGGCCATGCCCTCAATCTCTAGATGAGCTTTAGCCAAATACCCTCTTTGCCCCTTTCCTGCTTTGAATCCGGCGGGTTTGAGTTTATAAAACAAATAATAAAGAAGAGAAATAGAAATCAGACCTAGAAAATAATCAACGAATCTTGGGAATTTACAGCATAGAAACGGGGTCAAATGGCGTTGAAGATGAAAAAGAAAGAGAAGATACATGTGACGATTTTTTTGCAGGTCAGTTGAAATGTTTATAGGACTGGAATCGGAAGAAATCAGAAGAGATGATCGGAAGAAATCGGAAGAAATCGCGTTGAAGATGAAAAAGAAAGAGAAGGTACTTGCGGCGATTTTTTTGCAGTTCAGTTGAAATGTTTATAGGACTGGAATCGGATGAAATCGGAAGAGATGATCGGAAGAAATCGGAATGTGTAAAGAGATGATCGGAAGAAATCGGAGGCAACGCTACCAGAACGATCTAAATAAATTGAAAATGGAAGCGTTGGAAGGAAAATGGATCGGAAGTTTGGAACCGGAGAAAGGAGATCAAACACCGCCATGGCTGCAACACCATTTGTGCTGCCCCGCCAAGTTACGGGTTGTATTTCATCCTTCGCCGGAACCCGATGTTCGGAGAAGTTAGATGCAGAACAATATCATGACAGCCTCGACATGGACATCAATGGAAATGAGCAACAAAAGAAGAAGGAAATAATGACACTGATCCTAATCCGATTGGATTACACTGGCGGTGAAGTACAAATAGACCACGTGTGAATCCCCAGTTTTAAAAATGACCTAAAGGACCCTGAAAAAGAAGGAAATAAACAAAGCTACAGGGAACAACTAAAGGGACCAAAAGAAGTGACACACAACAATTATAGAGGGACCGGATATGTAAATCAAGGGACTAAATCTGGACAAAGTATGTCCAGTTTACTGTTATAACTTTTCACAACTTTAATATATATATAATAATAAAAAATTATACAATTAAATTTAAACATGCTATTAATCGAATATGGTTGTACTAAACACATTTTCTTTATATAGGTATAAAATGGTATTTGTTCCATTCACAGCAGTTGACCACCACAAGAAATCAGTTACTGTTGGCGCTGGGTTGCTGAGTAGAGAGATAATTGAGTCTTATGAATGGCTACTTAAAGCTTTCTTAGATCTCATTAAGGGAAAACACTAAAAATTGTTCTAACTGATCAAGATCCAGCAATAAACAAGCTGTGGAATCTGTTTTACCAAATTCAAGACACATATTATGCATGTGACACATAATGAAAAAACTTCAAGCAGAGGTATAATAAAAATAAAACTATAATATAAATAATATATGATTACTCATATATGATTTATAATAAAAGAACTATGTAATCATATATGATAAACCATATGCACTTCTAGACTATAAAATATAATTAATAGTATAATATAATATACATTCATATATGATTAAATATTCTAATAATATGAATTATCACATATCATACTGTATAATCATATATGATTAGTCATACATGTTTGTACATTATAATAAATGATTAATCATACATTAGAGTACATAATCATATATCATTACTCATATATGATATATCCAAATAAGTATATAATTTATACTTATATAAGTAAAATTGTTTATTCTAGGTTACTGTCGATTTATTTAAAAACAAGGACTTCAAGAAGAGATTTAACAAGCTTTTTTGGAACATGCATTATCAAACCTGGTGAATTTGAGAAGAAATGGGAGTTGATTATTAATGAATTCAATCTGGAAGGTAAAAGATGGTTCAATGATATGTTCGAATTACGTGGCAAATGGATACGTGCATACTTCAATGACACTAGAATGTCTGGATTGATGAAAAACACTTCAAGATCAGAAAGCATGAATTCCTTCTTCAACATTTAATCGCAATCTGGAAATTTACTTTTACATTTCATGATGAACTATGACACTGCAATTTAAAAACAAAGAAATACACAAAAAGGAGCTTGATCATGAAACAAAGAAGGCGGTATATAAATTTATTTCACTGCGACCGATAGAAAAACATGCTGCAAAAGTTTATATAAGTACATTGTTTTACGAAGTTCAGAAAGAAATCTACAAAGGTTCCTGGTACTGCCATTACAAACATGTTGGATCAAAGAACGGATGAGAGTTAAACTAAGTGGAACAACTGGACAAAAACAGCGATTTAAAAAGAGAATTTTAGGTAATATATTATTATTTTAAATTTTGATGAATCACAACGCAATATACAACTATATTCAGTTATGATTACAAAACAATATATACAACTATATTTAACTCAATAGAAAAAACACTTAACCGCTTTGGGACTTTATGCAGACACGCATTCAACATACTCATGAAACATAGAATTAAGGAGATACCTGAACAGTACATTGAGAATCGTAGTAGAAAGGATGTGATATCAAGTCATTATCACTTTGGTAGGCATGTATATGATACAGGAGACTGTTAAATTAACAGATCTGTCAATCAAGCATACTACAACTTTGAAGCAGGTTTGGAATATGTAAAAAAAATAAAGAGAAAATGGATTTTTTTGTTAAGAAAACAGAAAGTATGCTGAAGGAATACGAGAATGATCCTACCAATGAATTGCAGAAAAATAGGACATATTTTGAAGATGTAGGAAAACTTCTGGGTGTTTTTATTCCAAAAGACATTGACATCAATGTTCAAAATGTTCAAAGCAATAAAGGAAGCAGAAAGAAAAATAGAATTCAAAGTGCAGCAAAAATAACATATAAAAATTCAAACAAGCAAACAAGAAGATGCTCAGGATGTAGAGAAAGGGCTCCTCATAACTTGCGTACATGTCCTATCAAACTTGCAGCAGAACAATCATCAAAAGCTACATAGATAATTACTAGTTTAATCAGTAATGAATAAATCAAGATTTTTTTTTCTAAATAATATACTTTTTGTTTGATGCATTTTACTCTTTTTACAAGAGAGAATGTACTATGATTTTGTTTATTGAATTCTATCTACTTTGATAATTCTTTCTTTGATTTTATTAGTAGTACAACAAATCAGTTTTCTTGAAATTTATTCTATCTTGAACCTTCTTCTATCTAACTTTATGTCTTTTATGATTACAAAAGTATATAATCACTTATGATTAAACAAAACATATGAAGTGATTTTACATAATCATTTATTATTATACAAATAGAAATAATTATGTAATCTGTTAACTGTTATTCAATATATGTAATAATTTATTATTACATATAAATTGTTATTCAATACATGTAATCATTTATGATTACATATAAATAACATGTAAGCTGTACTACAAATCTCATTACATATAAAAATATAATATATTCAATCATGATTGAAGTTCCATAAAATGTTAATACAAACAAAATTAAATAATAAAATCCATCACCATACATATAAAAGTTGTTCCGAATAACCATCACCATATAGAACAACATTGTTCATAAAAAATATAAACATAACCATATTCATCTAGAAAAGCAACTTCTAATCACCCATCATTAAATAACATCAAACATGAGCACATCTTTAGTAACAAATAATTTAACAAGCCTCAAATATCACGTTCCCCATTTTCCAAGATTCTTGTTCTTGATGTTTGTAGCTAGATTTTCATACAGATTGTAGCAGACTCCAAGAACACTTCCATCATTACTTAAAAAGATTATCTCCATTGAACATACCAAATCTTTACTACATATCTGATGTAGAGAAATGTTGTTCATTAAAAAGAAATCTTCTTTAAATGAACAACATTCCTCTACTTCAAAGACATCTAGTAAAGATCTGATATGTTAAATGAAGATAAAAATTTGAAGTAATGGTGAAAGTGGCATTCTTGGAGTCAGATACAATCAGTATAAAAATCTAGCTACGAATAAAAGAACAAGAATCATGAAAAAATGAGGAACATGTTATTAGAGACAACAAAATTAGTTCTTTTTGACTTATAGAGTCCATATTTTACCTAAAATGAAATGGAAGATGTTTACAAAAACAAAATTTAAAAAAGATAAGATTTTGCATGGTGATGTATTCAATGTAGTGAAGATAAGATAAAAGTGTGCTCACTTATCAAGAAAAAAATATAATAAATTATAATATGGTGTTCAACATATGTAATCATTTATGATTACAAAAATAGAAAGAAAAAATTAATTGAGGTTCAATATATGGTACCTATCGTTCAAGATATATACAATCAGTAATGATTACATATAAACAACATATAATGGGTACTAAAAACATATTTACATATAAAAATGTAACATAATCACTTATAATTAACATTCAATAACATAATTGTAACGCCCTGTTCCGAATCACTACCCATTTGGGTGTGGGTGATGGTATGTGGATGAATCGGGCATTCAGAGTTAGTTTTGGGGCCAAGGGTATTTTGGTAATTTGTTATATCAGGCTTTTATGGAAATTGGATACCGGTTCGGGATATCATAAGGTAGGTATGAGTTGTTTAAAGCATTGAGCTTCTTGTTATCTTTTCATGGATATGAGGATGGTCGGAATCGGAGTTGTACCAAAGAAGTTATGACCTTCAGAATGAATTAGGGTTTGAGGGAAGACCTTATTATGCAGGACGTACCAAGAGAGTACGCGGGGCGTATTGATGCGAAGGGATCTACGACATGCGTAACAAGGAGTACGCTTAGCATATTGCGTGGTCAGGATTGGGGTGCGAGACCTCGTATGCTGGGCGTACGAGGAGTACGTTGGGCGTATGAAGGTCAGCGTGAAACCCTAATTTCTAGTGTTGTACCCTATAAAAGCTTTATGCTAGTCCATTTCTAAGCTAGCCTTCATACCCTAAAAACCCTAAATCGACCTTGTAGCCTCTTGGTGGTGTTCTTGAGCTATTAGAAGGCTTTGGTGCACATTTTTCCCTTGGGAAGGAAAGAAGAGAAGCTTGAAGTTGTTTGGCTTAGTGGAGAGGCTTTGGATCCAGAATCATCATCTTGTGGGGAAGATTTTTGAGGTATCAAGTTTGGATCATGGCTTGTATATGATTAGATCTCTTCATGGCTAGTTTATTATGATTTTGGTCTTCTTTTTGAGTCTATGGATGAGTTGGGTTGTTTAAGGGCTGGTTCTTTCAAGTTTGAGTTTGTTGTGGTATCCTTGAGCATAAAGGTGCAAGATTTATGTGATACCATTTTCTGTCACACCCCGCTAAAGCGGAAACACGAGGCGTGGCAGTATAAAGGGTTTCATAGCAA